AAATTGCATATTTACGAGTTATAGCTATAGTTTAAGCTATTTGGTTTGTACAATTTGCGAATTTGTATGATTTGCAGGTTTGTATACTTTACGAGTATATTAGCATTATTCAGTTATTTTGTGTATAAACTCGAAATAACAAATTTATACGATTACAAACATCAAAATTATATAGAGTTTTACAAACTATACTATACAAACATGTGAATTGTACAAAACTAAAAAATTAGATCGCGTAATTATAGCGTTAGTAAGTCGCGAATTGTAATTAAGGTAAAACTTATTAACCAGTGTATGTTTGCTAATATATATCATTTATCTTACTCTCATATTAAACTCCATTTAAAAAGTAACGTTTCTTTCTTTGTTATCGATAAATTAAATATTTAAAAAATAATCGTGTCAAATCAAGATCGGACGAAGCCCTACAATACATAGCGTGTTAAAGTTGCATTGCTCAAAAACCAAAACAGTAGCAATATAGGGTTGGTTTGTGTGTGATATTTTACAAATTAAGAAGGGGACAAAGTGAGTGATAAATGAAAGACCATAAACTCCACCAGTGAATTCACTTGTCTCTTTTTTTAATTTGTGACTTCTCACTTCATTTTTCAAAATCCATATTTGTTCTCTATTATATACTATTTGTTTCATTCCTCAACACTATTCTCTTGGGATTTCTGAAAAAGAGTCATTCCCTTTTTCAGAAATTTACCTCTACTTCTTTTCTTTCTTTCATCCACAAACAATGTATTTTCATTCAATTCTTCATTAAACATTCCAAAATCTCCTCTGTTTGCTGCACTTTCTTGTAAGAAGAAGAAGAAAAGAAATCCAATGGCATGTTCTCAATTTATAGTCTTTTGGCATAGAAATCTACAGACTATAATCTTTTTGTTACTTCTATTCATTTCTGGATTGACACATGTTAGATTAACAGCTGAAGGTAAAAAGGGTCTTTTCAAGATTTTGTCTAAAGTTATAAAATCTTGAAAAAAAAAAGACTGAAATTTTAATGAAAAGTTTCAATCTTTTGCAGGTAGGAGAATACTCAAAACACAAACTGGTGTTTTTACTCAGGTGGGGTTCTTGAATCTTGAGTTTTTTTTTTTGAAATTCAATAAGAAAAAATATTGAGTTTTTTTTTTGTATTTTGAAAAAAAAAACAGAGGAAAAATGAAGAGAAGATGATAAAGATGAGATCTTTAATTGGTTCAAGACCACCAAGATGTGAAGGAAGATGTAGAAATTGTGGACCATGTGAAGCAGTTCAAGTGCCAATTGTGCCAAATCTCAAGAATCAACTAACATCAAGAATTCATAATCAATTGAATTCATATCCTAATTTGTTCTTGGCATATTCAAGGGGTGATGATATATCAAATTATAAGCCTATGTGTTGGAAATGTAAGTGTGGGAATTTTTTCTTTAATCCTTGATTAAAGATGGAAGAAGGAAAAAGATCCTTTTTTTTGGGGTTATGGAGAAAATTAAGTTTCTTCAATTGTCTATATACATGAAGATTAAGTTTGATTAGCTTATAGCTAGGTTTTGTTGTTTTTTTGCATAATCAAGATTTGTGATAATGCATATTTTGTACATATCTTAATTAGCACTTTTGTAGTACCAATCTTTTCCTCTTTCTTTTTTCTCTTGTGAAAAGAACACTTCTAATTTAGGAAGTGAATTGAGCTAATTACAACAGATTAAAAAGTTTTGGATTGCTAATTTTAATTTATGTTGTGATTAATAATACTAAAGGTAGTGTTTTGTGTTGAAAACATGGTTTTCATGTATATGCATGGCTACCATATTTTTATTGTTTCATATTTTATCTACAGTATAAATTACACTAATTTTGACCTAAACTTGTATATTATATTCTATTTCGTATATTATAATAATACATAATTGCTTTGGCTTACACTTAATTTACTTCATGTTCAATTTTATATTGAATAAACTTTTATACATGTAATTAAATAGCATTTATCATCCAAAACGACTCCTCAGTGTGTGTAACAGAGGGAGCAGTTTGGATTATTGTTCATCGCATTCTGTGAATGAATGCACAGCTCGTAGGTGTGATGTGAATGTGACGATAGTGAGAGAGAGGGGGGTCCTTTTCGTAGGCGGAGTAGAGGTTCGATATCTACTTTATATACATATAAAGTTATTTTAATCATATATAAATAATATAATTTTCATCGAAGAGAGTTTGGAAGATAGCTTCGCCCCTGTTCTCACATTTTTTTCGTTTAAATTTATTTTGTTCGATTTTAACATACATTTTTTTTTATAATTTTAAAAGTATATTAAATGTTGGAATGTTTCGATCTTGTTATCTTAAATTTAGAAAGTTTTTTGAAAAATATTATTTTAAAAGAAGTGAGAATTGATTAATTTGAAAAAAGGCAGGCAAGTAAGAGTGGGGCGGTATGTCAGTGGGCAGTGTGCACTGTACAACAGTAGCAGAGCAGCAATAGAAAAGAGAAGGGGACCTGCTCATGTTTTCATATCTTACAAGATTTTATGTGTTACAAAAAGGCAAAAAGAAAAAAAATCGCGAATTTAAAATTTTTAGAATATAAATATATTTATAAAAATCAATTTAATATCTAAATAGATTAATAACTCTATTATCGATCAAGTAGATTACATAAAATATTTAATTTTACGAAAAGAATTATGAGGTTATGCGTCTAAAGTTGTTACTTGGGCCTGGTTATATACATCGAATGTATAAATTGTATAGTACGTATGACACTCCCTCGTTTATTGTGTTATTTTTTGCATGTGTCGTTCTGCCAACACTCGTGTGAGTGTGTATCACTCCTAGTTATTATCGTTACTACTTTTTCTGAATATAAACATAGGTTAATTTTTGTGTTTTTTTTTCTTGCAAAAAGATAATAGAGAGCAGGAAAAGGAAAACTAAGAAAATCGACTAATCTAAAAAGTTGATTTGAAGTTGTATTTTTTTTTCGGACTTGCAATTTGAGTCTCAAAAGTTAGTGTATATTTATTCTGGTAAAAATATGTGAATCTCATAAATCTTTTTATATAATATAAATATTATGAACAAGCATTAACTTTTGATCTTACTATAAAGTCTATTTCGATCGCAAAATTTATGTAAGAATTTGCAATTTATAAATTTTCTAAATATTTTTAGTTTATAAAGTTAAAACTGAATTAATGTATTTCTACTTCATTTTTAAGATTAATCAAATTGATCTTCTATAAGGGTAGATTCATAATTTACTTATCACAAACACATGCATAAAAAAACTAAAAATTAATAATTTACATTCTTAAAATTTATACAAAAGTAAATAAAGACTTGGTTTTGCTTGTGTACAAATTTGGTGGGCCTTTTCTAACCTAATGTGAAACAACTGTATCTCATCAAACAAAAGCCCAAAAAACAAAAAGGCTTGAGCCCACCAATGATATTATGTGGCACATAAAATTTACAAATAATACTTTCGATTCTTATTTAAAAAAGAAAATACATAAAATCCCCCTCAAACTTATCCGTAAATTCATTTTAGCACTATAACTTAGGGTCTTTATATATCCCCTTAAAGAACTTTCAGGTGAATTGAATATCACCTTATAGATACAATACCAATTTCGTGGTTGAAAGGTGATATACACGCGCCCCACATCAGCAATACGTTAGTGACACGTTGACAATATGTCAGATGGTGAGGACGTGTAGTTTTATTTTATTTTTTATATTTTCCACGTCATTTTTTGTTCTTAGTTTTCACCTGAAAGTTCTTTAAGGAGGTATATAAACACCCGTAAAGTTACAGTGCTAAAGTGAATTTTACAGACAAGTTTAAAGAGAATTTTATGTATTTTTCCTATTTAAAATAGTCATTAATCATTAATATTATCATCGTAGAGTTTTAAATTCCATGAATGCATATTTTTATGATATGACATTTACGTTCTTCATTTTTGTTTATGATAATTCTTGATTTTTTTATATATATACAAGGGCTAAATCTACATATTTGATTGAATTTGAAGCTTAGAAATACGTCAACAAACAAAAAAAATAAAAAATGAAAAGGAGTACACATATTTTTGGGGGAATTGGCAGTGTAACAGGTGATCCAGTTCATAATTTCACATGGAGTTAACTCAGACCAATAATTTACACTTTATTATGAAAAGAAAAGCCTTCATCTAAGAGGCCAGAGCCCACCTGCTCCCTTTCATCTCATTCTCATGTATGAAAGAATTTCGAATTTAAATCAAAGTTACTATGATCGATCGAGTCTTCACTTTTGATTACTGATATAATATATAGGATAGCGTTGAATATAATATGTCTAGGAATGAAGAGATTAATTATATTAGTATTAGTTAACCTAATATTATTTCTTATCCATGTTTGACCGGATATATAAATTAATTCATGTAGTTTTATTTTTGTTAAGCTTCTTCCAAGCACCCCGTAGTAATTGTTAAAATCTAAATGATGTCTCGTATTGGTTTTGCATGAGTTACTAAAGAGTTCATAAAGATTTTTATGTCATTCTTGGATCGAATTAGGTTATATATACTTTTTATCGGATATCTAAAATTTATCTCAATCATAGGTTTCATATAAATTTACATTTTTTAAAAAAAATCTAGTATTTTCCATTTTTATCACGTTATTAACCACTAACTCATACACATTTGAGGTTACTCTACTTAATATTGCTCTGAAGGGTTTAACTTAATACATTTTGAGTTTTTAATAGTAAAAGCAAAATATATATTTTATCACGCGTTTTCATTTAAAATAAATATGCATTGATGTAATTAATATTCTTTGCCTGAATATAAGATATAATTAATATGAATTGCCTGAATACCAATTGTCTAATACCAATTTAATACAACTCTTAAGTTTTTCAAAGAATATAAATTATAGTTAATGATTTGTAATTACGCAATTATATATGTCAATTAATGTTTTTGACTCCAGTGTTGGACCCTCATTAAATTCCTTCTACCGACGCATCCAAATATCTTTAAAATAACCAACACAGATACAACACATCCATCTATTTTTAAACACATAAAAGTGGGAGCCTTTCTTCTCACACCTCATCTCTAATACTACTAGTACACACTCATCTTCTATATTTTACTGGTAAGTTTCATTTCATTTTTTTTAATAATAATAATAAGATCTATTTGGTTTTTTTTATTATTTGATTTTTCACATAGATTGTATTTTAACTCCAGGTGGTTAAAACATGATGACATAGAAACATGTTGAGGCAATCATCTAGTAGAAATATGAGGACTAAAGGGTTAAAGTTAAAGGATGTTTTACAAGGATTTGCTTTGTTTTTGATGTGTTTGTGGTTGATTTACCAAGCAAGACAGGCTTACAACAAGTCAAAATTGGGTGAAAAATCATTGAAGGGACAAGATTTGCAAAAAGCTGCCAAGTTAGGGAGGAAAGATCTGAATCCTTTGCTGTTAGATGAGTTAGCTGGTGAGTTTCAGAAGAACCCAGATGAAGATCTTGAACTGGAAGAATTATTAGATGAAGCCAAAAAAGATGGAGATGATGGAGTTGGAGACAATGAACAATTGGAAGACATAGTTGATGAAGATGCAGCTAGTAGAGATGCAGTTTGAGAAAAGTTAAAACAAATTATTATATAATTAATTGATAAATAATTATGAATTAGAGTGTTGAATTGCCGTTTGTAATTTTGGGAAAAGCCAAAAGATTCTAAACTGATGAAGAATTAAAGAAATAGAAGAGGGGTGGTTTAAGTTCATGCTTTCTAAATATTGGTTCATTTCAGTTTTAAGATTTTGTTGACGAAAGAAATTGGCTTCAATTATTCTATAGCCAAATTAGCACAAATAAAGCTGATACCAAGTGTCAACTAAAAAGAAAAAGTAAAACAGAAATGAGGGATCCACTTTGCATAGAATAATACTAGTAGAAGACAATAACTTAGGCCATTCCAATAAAAAAAAGTTTGAAATATAGAGAATCCTTCGAATCGTTACAAAAGCCAATCAGAAGAAAAACTGGCATTGAGACATTAGAATAAGAAATTGTGGCCAAGAAGTTTCTTTCAGAACTCAACCATGAAACCAATGTTTACACACTAAAACTCGAAGGCCTAAAATTGCAGCAGCAAAGGCATAGGTTGAGAGGAGTAACACCCGATAAAATCTGCTTCAAGCCACTGCTGTTGATTCGGGTCTATGGACTCTTAGTTTTGACCTGTTGGTGTGCATTCCACTGCAACAACATCCAAACGATAGATGTGCCTGAAAAGAGAAAATGGAACTCTTTACACCGGCGAAAGTGGTGTGTGAATTGTGATCAGGAGTGAACTCAGTTAACAGCAAAGAAAGAAAAGAACGTGCTGATGCAGGACGATAATGTCACTAATGTGGCTGTAGTTTCTTGTTACCTCCAGATCATTGGAACTTCTCTTTATAGTTAAACCACAAACATAGGTAAAGATGTTCGGAAGTTGATAAGAATTCAACCCTTTTATAAGAACCATCTTAAAAGATTTGCTTCGCCATCTCCTTTTTCATTAAGTAGCTAACATGTTTAGGTAGTAAATTGGGCTTAAGCAACCAGCACTGCACCCCAAAGATAGGCTTTAATTCATAAGAAGAGCAAGTTGCAAGAGTTCACTTAGCGCAATCAAAAAGTTCAAAAAGGGAAGAAATACGGGAAGTTTGATAAAGATTTTTCACAAAAGTTAGGAGCACAAGCAGGGTCTTCAAATGATTAAGTTGCACATTCAGTGACATGCTACAACTAAATGACGCCAGTCCATATTAGAAGATGCTTAACAGAAACTTTACAGCACATGGTACTAGGTGAATAAAGGTAGAGTCACAGATTATATCATTTGAAAGCACTAGATATAGATGCCTAAACCCATCTTTACTTCCACTGTTTTAAAAGCAGACCAAACCCAGGGATGGAGGGGAAACACCAAAAACAATTCCAAGATCGTGTAGTGCTAGTTATAATTAAAAAACTCGAGAAGGAACAATACCTGCAAATATACCGACAGTAACCAAATTTTTTATTTCCATTGTCTGATAGATCAAGAACTCTGTCAAGAAATGACCGAAGGCATAGACAAATGATAAAATGGTTGCCAAATACAAAGGTCTGTCATGAAGGTTAAATGCACAGAGATAGCAAAGAGTGCAGGTTAGGAGAGTCCACACTCCAAATGTCCTCCCATGAACTTCTGTCACTGCAACATGATAAATAAAAAAAGAAGTTCCCATTAGAAAGACAGTATAAGATAGTGTCAAGTAACGTGTGGTAATTTCAATGCAATTCCAAATAAAACCTGTGATACCAAGCAATACAAAGTATCATCACTTGTCAAACTTAAGATGCATGACAGATATGTTCTTACAAAGTTGTTGTTCTTGAAGTTATTCAAGAAGTTGATTATCAAATGTGCTATCAAATATGTTACGGAATACTGACTGCAGTACCAGTAACTTAAGGTTCTATTTTCACAACAAAAGCTATACCTTCTGAAGTTACAACCACCAAATTCGCATATTGCTGTCCACATTTTGAGCCACTTAACCGAAGCCAGACGAGAAACATATATGTCACTCTTACTGGATGATAAAGCATACAATTATAGGTGCATAGGGGTCGAACCAGACGAACAAATTCTCAGATTCTATCAACTCCATTCTCCAGATGGATTGAAGAATAACGCAACATAACACAAATGAGATGACATAAGAACCTATGTATCTTTCACAAACTTAAAGAGAACTTCTTTACGAAGTCTTTGTGATGCAGTTGTAGGAGAAAGGCTTCTCTTAGAAAGAATAGAACTATGTGGAGACTTTGGAGGTGATATACCCATTTGTGAATTACCAAATTCTGGTCGAGGGGAGCAATTTTACCTTTTTAAATAAACATACAGAATAAGAAGGTAAGAATTAAATGAGGCATGACAGAAGTGCTACAATATGCTGCAAGAGAATAATACATTTTCTTCAAGAATTAAGAGCTAAGGCCAAGCTACAGAAGTTTATGTACCATTTACCTAATTTAGCGCCATTTCAACCCTATGTAGTAGCAAACCAATTTCAACCGTACATAGTCCCTTATTCCTTTCCCCAATCCAAATGAAAGCATCTAGATTACAGGCAAATCCAAATATTCAACACTCAAAACAGTGCATGTACCCAAACCCACTGCCTCTAATCAAATTATACATATGTAACTAATAGATTTTTTTTTCCTTCTAAATAATGTGCGTGTGCGAGAGGGAGCGAAGGTGATGTCCACTCCAGTTTGCACGCACATTGTCTAATCCTTCGGGCAAAGACTATTACATCCCATAAACACAGGTGTCAAAGTGCTCATACTAACTACTGTAGCTGATTCCAATTATATCTATACTAAATTCAAATCCACAACCACAAAATAATAATAAGATTTTGCACTGGTAACTAACCCCAATACTACAACAACATATCCCATGAAAATCCACAAAGTGCACTAACTTAAATTCCTGATCTGTCAATATATGATCCTCGATATTAACAAGCATAAATCACTTTATCATGTGACAAATCAAACAAAATTAAGGCGAAAGCAACGGGATATGATTCCCAATACAGATTCAACACGAGAATGTCAAAAACCGAAATGAGCAGTAAGCGTAATATAAGCCCAGTTTGTAAACTTACTGGTAGTTTTGGAGAAAACAGCGAGACGAAGAGCCCAAATATCGACGAAGCCAAACCATACCGATGCAAGCCGAAGTGTACCCACTAGCATTAACCACCATCCTAACAGCTCCATCTCTTTAATTTTTCTCTCCACACACGTTCTTCTCTCCTTCGCCCCGGTTCCTATTTTGATCTACCAAACAGTACGGGTCGGATCCGGTCTTAAGCCCAATGACCCAAACCTTTAGGCCCACATGTTTTAGCTCACCATCTTCACGGTAGGCTAGTGAATATTCAAAAACGTGCTGCTTTTAAGTTCGTTTGTAAAATACATACTATTAGTAATTAAGGAATTAGTAACACGTGGATTTAATGTGGATAAGTAGGATAGATTTATTGCTTCGCATTTTATATTGCGTTTAAATTAAAATTCTATTCGTGATTACTATGGGATTTTCTATTTTACTTAATTGGGTCGAGATAGATGATTATTGAATAATATTATGTTTCACAGACATCGTAATTAGTTGGAAAAAGAATAATGTTGTTGTCGTGTTTGTTATTTTCCCACTTAAATTATTTCAGCGTGAATATTTGTTATTTTAATAAATTAATCACTCACAAAATATCAATTTTCGATTTTTAAAAAGATAGATCATATACTTATAAAACCAAAAAGATGGGAAACAATAATAAAATCAAATAAACTATCTACATTTACACATAAAAATGGTAAATTATAATTTTAATACGTACACAATTTTAGAAATAGTTCATATAATACAAATAATTAGAAAATCTCATATATTTGCTTTTTCAAGTAGTAAATGTTAAACAACTCACATTTTAAATATAGTATTGATTTATATTGGATTTATTGATCAACAAACAACTGTCTCCAATAAAATTTGTAAGCTAATTTATTTAAATAAATTTGCTAGTACAATTATAAAATATCAAATCAAGAAAATAAATAAAATGATGAAAAGGATTTGAGGGATATTTTTATCTTTACAGAAACTATATTTCTACCAAACATAGTATGAAATAATAATATACATCTTACTGGATTATTTCTTCTAACACTCCCTACCAAACAATTTCTTAGAGTACTATTTGACGCATACACTACATCAAAAGTTATTTTTAACGACAATTAATTAATAACAATGGTTTAAAATACCGCTAACTATATATTTTTAACCACAATTAACACTCTCTGTATATATTTCTAAAGTCTTTAAAAACATTGAATCTAATAACACTTAACTAATATAAGTAAAAACTTTTGCTCGTTAAATCAACAAGTGAAAAGAAAGTAGGTAAAATTAACTCGTTAAAAGAGTGTGCGGTGTGCCACTTACAATTATAATGGTGATGTTTATATATCAATTAATAGTATATTATGTCTTCTATTGACTTTTTATTATTTGTGTAGTAGTAATAAATATGGATAGTCTTTGCATGACCTGACTATTAATGTGTATTAAATACAATTATAATCATATAATGGTGATGTATATATTCATGTGATGTGTTCATATGTACTATTTTGAATATTGATCGTCATTACACAATCATATTATTAATATATAATATATTAACTTGAGGTCGTTATCGTAATGAATTGAAATTGTGGATACCATTTTCTTTACCAATTGTAGCATGGATTCCAAATCCAAGAAAAGGAAATGATAAAGAAAAAGTACAAATGTAAATTAAGGATTGTGTTTTGTCCTCAGAAAAATATGAAAGGAACTTTCACGTTACTCTGTCTCGTATTGTCTGTTGTTAAGAGTCACGATACACCCATTTAATGTTTTTTCTAAGGATGAAACTGTATTAGTGGCTCGGGGCGTAGCTATATATGTTAAATGTTGGTTAAGTGAACACCCTTTCATAAAACCCTTGAAAATTATTTTTTATCAAAATTTATTACATATATTTATTAAGTATAGATGTGCATGTAGAGTATTTATTGATTTGATATAAATATCGATTTCACGGAGTTAGAGAGGAACGTAGTTCTGTATACGGAAGAAAGAGTGCTTAGTTAAGAAGCAAGAGAGACAAGGACATCGGATTCTTGTTATGAATGACTCATTCTGAACACATTACAACACCAAACACACTCACTCAGCATAATAAATGGTTAGTATAACATTTCTGCCAGTACAATATATTGACCAGTTTTAATCTAAAGACCAGATCCCCACTTCATTTACGTTTCTACATTGAAAATAGTGAAGAATTGAAGCAACTTTGTATAAAGGAAAAAAAATATTACTTCTATGAACAGGTACTGCAATAGTAATTATCTATTGATAGTTGAACACTATTTTGGAAGTCTCAATTTTTTTTTCCCTTCGGATACGACTTTTTTCAAATTTAGATACATAATCATTTTTATGCCATGCAAATTAATACACTCTATTTAATATTGTTATTATACCGTCTATATGACTTGTAATAGTGTTGGGCATGAGTGGCTAGGCAATTTGGTAGTAAATGGGCCGACCTAGTCTTGCTTCGACGTTCAATTTGATACATTGACTAATAAGCCAGGCTGTTAGTTTTAATTTCTAATTCCCCCCGCTGACACTACAATATTGGTCCCCCAGCACCTCTTTCACTCACACAAACCACAAAACAGTTGGCCTTTCTGCTACTGTTACACCAGATATATACATACATATTATACACCAACACCACTCTATAGCTAATTAGGTAATTTTTGAAAAAACTGAATGCTTCCTTTTAAATCATCCATATCCAATATTCCCACCTTATTTTCCTTCCAAGACGGTAGCATAGCTGGCAAATCCCTACCATTGTCACCAAACTACAAATTTTCCTATATTTAAACAGCATTACAGCTATCTCCCACATTTAGCACATTAATTATCGTATCAAACTACTTGCTAATTAATATTTTACATACCTAACTGCAGTTTTCAACGCTTGCGTGCACGCACATTCCCCTTATATCCGCTACACATCATAATCAAATACTAATCCTTAATCATCTCATTTAAGTAAATACAAGATTTCAACAGTATCTCCATCTGTTTGTAACAACTAAAATTTTACTACTTGCAGTATTGTGAAATACCAACAACCAACAAGTAAAGCAATATTTGACATTGACAACTTGCAATAGTAGTGAAGAAAGTTTACAATGAGCAACACACCAATTTAAGGCAAAAAAAAGTGCTCTGTCAGTCAAATCCCCCACAATCTCTGTACATATTGAAGGAAAAAAGGCTAATAATGTTCGTTAGTAAAACTAACAATCAACTAGTGACCGACGATATCTAAAACTCATCGCCACCATTTACCACTCACAAGTAAAAAAAAAACAGTTAAAAAAAGAATCTCAGGAGAGTAAATCCTGAGAAGGACACAATTCTTTCCTAAGCTTTTGAGAGAAAAGCCTGCAAGCATCAATGCTGAGATCAATGGCAGCTGACAAAGCCACGAATGCCGCTGCGTCTTCCGTGCAGTTCACGTGTTGTACGCTAACTTCCACTGTAGGTTTACTACACTTACTTCCACCTTCACCTTCCACGTTAGCCGACATCACAAAACCTCGATACATACAATAAGGCCATAATCCGTATCCAAAGTCACCGCTTCCTCTAGGGCTACACGCCGGTGACGTCGAGTTCACAGGTGTTGATTTCCCATTCGTTGACACGCTCGTTCCAAGGTCTATCACGAATTTTCCACCTTTGCTACAGCTTAATGTCGACTCGGCTAACACTATTCCAGCTGCCGCTGAGTCTGGGATTAGCTCGAACCGGTAGCCAAGCCCGTCTGCTGAACCACGTTCGCGCCACGCCTCGAGTCTACCCCATGGTTTCCATGTTCCGTCACCTGGCCGGAGAACTAGCCATGAGCCGGGGTTGGACCGGCTTACCCGGTCAGAACCGGGTGAGGCTACAAAAGGTGTAACCATTGACGCAGCGGCGACTGGTGAACCGGAGAGATCGTGGACTGTAATTGACCATCCCTTTCGCTCCTTCCCTGGTCGCTCCCTTTCGCTTCCGAACGAACTTAACCATCCTCGTGAACTACTATGCTCCAATGGCAAAGACCTGCAAAATGCAGTTCCGATTTTGTTAAAAGAAATTGAAAAACTCGTGAGTAGAAAGTGCTCCGACGCGTAATGGAAAAGTAGAGTATATTTGCTTTAAACATGAAACTATGTGTTTGTTGAAGATTTTTTCCAACTAAATGAAGAAATGACTTCTAATTACTGACGTTGGAAGCTACTTTTTAAGCTTTAATTAGGAATCATAAAATCAACTATCCCGTACATTTTGAACATTTTCTAAAATTGAATACTGGAAAATTCGAATCGTTTATGCGGAAAATGTAGTGTGAGCTCTAATTGTGCAAGTCAAGCCTGTCTGTCGGTATCAGAAGAAAAAGTTGAAAAAGAAGAATCGAAACCAACCTGGACCTCTGATTACGGTCGCCGGGGGTACGGAAACTGAATTTGCATGTGAAAACAGGTTGACGGATGTTTCCTTGAATTTGAAATACTTGAGGACTGCATTCCGGTTCTCCGTCGAACTGAAACACGAATCTCGGGTCGGGTTCCGCCTTAACACTCAAATGAAACTGAGCACTCGAGTTCTTTGCTTCCTTTCCTATCACAATCCAGCCATTGTAAAACAATACTGACCTAGATTCCGTTCCCGCCAGATCCAACGGTACATCAACCTTCCCTAGCAACCTCCCGGAGTTCACACCACATGTCGACCCTCGCCTGCCGGTGTAAATTGAGATTTGAAGATACAATTTCCTACCGCCGAATAAAGACTTTGCAACCAGCTTTTCTAGATCAGACTTGTTCAGGTGAAAACTCGCCGCATGACTTTGTACCTGACCGTCGGGAAACTGACTCTCCGGCAAAATGCACGGCACAACCGCCGTCTGGAGAGGAAAATTCTTCAACTTGATTTTACAAAAACACGGCGACGACGACGGATGCACAACGGAACGAGCCGGCTTCGAAGCTATCGGAATTTTTAACGCTAAATTACACACACTGAGCCTCACGAAAGGACATGGATCCATTCTAATTAGTGCCCACACTTAGTTTCGCCGAGTTGTGTAAAGCTAAAGGCAAATTTGAAGAACTAATAAGCGAAGCGTAGGACAAAGAAAAACTCTATTATGCGCCGTTGTTGAGAAGAAGTTGAAATAGAGTCCATAGGGATTTGTGTACAGAATTGGCTCCACTTAAAAATATTGTGTTCATCTTTAGGAAGAAGACGACTCTAATAAACTCCTTTTTGGGTAATGTAAAACCATAAAACTAAAATAAAATAACAAAAAAATAAACTTTGTTAAATGGAATATAAAATTATATTTAATATATTTGTTTACAAATATTCATTGTACGGATAGGAGTGGGTTATTTTAGCTGCTAAATAGAAACTCTGTTCGTGTGGTTGGATTACAGCTGTGTACAGCCTGGAATCGCTTTTATGCCAGCAGGAGTTTTTTCAATTATCAGATTACCCTTGTGCCTACTCATAAAATGACTTTTATAACCTTGGGTTGTTGTCCATTGAGTCCCGCAATGACTATTGTACCATTTTCAATACTTTAACGATATTTCAGGTTCTTTTCCGTTTTTTTAAAATAGATATAATATATCAAAAATAATTTATTTATTTTTTGAGATGAGAGTAATGCATTGGCAAAATCACCCTTATAAATTTTATATATATAGATTTTTCAGTTTTTTGTTTATAGGATTATATTAAATATATTATTATTTATATTAATATGATATTTGGAATTATATGGAATTTGTGTTATTGTTATGATTTATGAGTATCTTTTGAAATGTGGCATGCCATTTTTTAAATTAAAATAACGTCCGCATGAAGCAATATTATAGTTGTATGTATAGTTATCATTTTGAACTTTTTTAGAAGACTTAAATTTAAAAAAATAATATTAAGTTTGGCGGATTTGATTAATTTAAAGGAGAAAAGTCAGCAAAAAGGATTAGTGGTATCCAATTAAGTATGTTAGTAGCTAATCATGTTTGAGGGGTCAAATATAAGAGGAAATAATTGTTTATAAAATCGTCAAGAAAATATTGTAATTGATCACCAGTTTAGCTAGCTGTTGCTGCTGCTGTCAATAAATATTTAATGATGTTAATATAAAAGATTTGTGATTTTTTTTTATGTTACTCTATAGTTGTTAATTGCTATTTTTGTCGTTTGTTGTGTTATTGTTAATACTTGATTACGTATTGTTTAATCAAGAAATAATATAATCGTAGGCTGTAATCTTGCCATTGTTAAATCATTCTAACTTCCTAATTCATCGATTTCAATTCTTTTTAAATATCCAATTCCAAATTTAAAAAATGATGAAATTCATTCCTTAAATATAGAAATAGAATAAATTTGCTCTTCGTTTGAATCTACTCTTTTAGATCAATAATTTGAAAGGTTGGTGTTTGACTAAAATTTTAAAAGAAAATAAGTGATCCTAAGGAGATAGTCTTTTAGAAAAACACTTTATAAAAATAATACACGAAATACTTTTAAAAATTTGACCAAGTAAAATTATACTTGAAATACTTTTAAAAAATTTATTAATCAAACATAAATTACTTCTCTTCGAAAATATTTTTTAAATACTTTTCAAAATAAATTTAATTTAGAAGTTAGTCAAAACATGTTACTAATATGCTTTTATTGTTAGTTAACTGGTTAAAATTTGCCAAAGTTGAGTAAATCTTGAGATACCCACATTAATAACCAATAAGGGCAGTAAATTTAATAGGAAGACAGAGTAAACTTAAGCATAACATTCAAAGCTATGGCCTACCGTTCAATTCATTTTTAATAACATTTTATGATAAAATATTTTCATATAGTTTTTAAATATCTAAATTTAAAATATCAAATAAATATAATCTAATTTAACTTTGAAAATTAATTAAATTATCTTCTGAAAAACATAATTAGCTTGAAATTGATAAGATCATAGATTTAAATTCCGATCGACATAAAACCACTATTCTATTTTCTTTCATCTTTGACTATCAGGGTACATGATACTGGATCGGACACCAGAGTTATAAAAATATGCAATTTAACTCTTTTTCCAATAAAACAAAGCACTAATTGCCAAAATGCTAGAGGTAACCAACTCATTTTTACTCGGCTATAGGATGTTTTGGGCTGATTAGTGCAGATGAAGTTGGTCAATCCATTAATCTTGATGATTCATATAAGTGGGGGAACAATAAAGGTCACGGACTACAAATGGGATAGACTGGCCTATAATATTACTCACAAGGCTAACAGTAGATGCAAAGAGACGTATATGTTTGTTCTTTTATGTGTAAGAATCATACTCAGGTGTATTTTGTATGACCTACTTGTTTTCAAGTATCTTTTTCACGGTGTTTGATTGTCATGTAATAATTGATTGAGTCGCCTTCAACATCAAGTGATTGAGTTCACGTTTGATGGATAAAAAACACTATTAATCCTTCTGGAGTGGGGTGATTTTACACATATATATTATAGCAAGGAAAGAGTAATAGGTACACGTGAACTCAAGTTGTGCCTAAATAAGCAACTAATAACAAAAAAGTGTTATTATGGTAATGAAAAAATAAAAGTATCCATTCAAGTGAAGTTTACTTCAATATCATCGAAAAAGGAAGGAAAATGAAACGATTTGACACCAATTGAAGGAACAATTTAACCTTTTAGAAGTAAAGTCATTTCCTCTAAACATGTAACCTACTAATAGTCAACATTCACTTCTCATAGTTATGTCCAAAATACAACTACTATGCTCCATATATTATACAATAACTTTTATATTAAATCATATAATATCAGAGAAAGATTAAAATAATTATGACTAGTTGAAAACATTACCAAACATACAGACACAAGTTGAGGAATTGTGTCCCATGATCTTATAAGATTATTACTCATTTGAACTCAATTAGGCCGTGTACTTTTGACTCTAAATTATATTCACTTATGTACTAAAATTTCATAAACTATTCTTTAATCACAATGACCTTTGGGTCTCTAACTAAGAATTTCTCCGTCTCTGCCCTTTATACACACCGTCCATCGCTCCTATCGATTGTGAAGTTACGTTTAGTTTTCAGACTTAATATATGAACATAAATGGTAAGTTATTATTATACAAAAATATAAACTATACATAAATTAAAGACCAACACTAAATAGAAGCAAAAGTGTAAATGATCCCACAGATTTATTTGGGCCAGACCAATTGTTGTTCTACTACATCCAACACTCAAATAACCCAAAAGGGCTTTAAGGCCCAAATGCCAAACGGTGTCGTAACCTTAGCAGAAACTGAAGTCACCAGAAGATAACGAAGGCAATCCACTTCAAAGGTTCCATTAAACACAGCCAGAAGAAGGAAAAACCTTTGAAGAGAAGAAAAAAGAAAATGTCAGCCTCCGCCATATTCGGGTTGCAGATGGCGGTGTTGCCGCGTTCCTCAACTGTTTCAGCGACCGGATTCACCGGCGGAGCCACCAGGTTGGCGTCGGCACCCACAAGTATCGGGGGATTGGTAATTGAGTGCTCATCTAGGCCACAGAAGAAGGCTACAGCTCACCATAAGAAGACACGTCCACGGAAGACTCAAGCTTGGGATATTCGACGTGGACCAGCTGTTTATGCTCCGTTACCTCCCTTACCATCGGAGTGGTCCTTTGCCAGTGATGAATCGGGTCAACCCGCTGCCGCCGGAGCTTCAGAGTCCGACGCCAAATCTGAGTAATTTTTCTGTAACTTATCATTTCGGCTTTTGTATAATGGTGTTTTCCGTCTGATACTTTGGGGAAATTTGCAACTTGTTCAATTGCAGTTTTGGCGCAATAAGTGATTTGAAATGAATGTTTTACGCTTTACTTTTTAATCTATTCAATGCCACTGGATAATGCCGTAGCTTGTGAGATAATAAACAATATCCTTCGAATATCGGTTCCGTATAATAAAATAGCAAAATTATATATTATGTAAAGCAAATATCAAATGTGATCGGGGAGAGGGGTCTCGTACTAAAAACAATGAATGAGAAAACAGTAGCTATGTTTGTATTTGCATTAAGGCAATATACTCGCTCATTCAACATCGGAATCCTTTGAACTATGTCGCAACAACCATTCCGATCAAAACCAAACTATCCAGTAGATTAGACGAGCCAACAATGTACATTTTATGTTCCTACTGTAAATGGCATATTTACAAAGTATGAAACCCAATTATTTGCCCTCCAGACAACATTTACCAAGGCCTCAAAGCTTTTCTTGAATCTATCAATTATTCAAAGACGGGAAACAAAAAAGACCCCAAGCTCACTTAATTGGAATCGTGTACCAAAAGGGGCAAAAGCTTCCAAAGTAGCAACCGTTATCGAGAGAGCTCTTCTGCACTTTCCACCACTGTCTCCGATCAGCTTACAGAAATTGCGCAGGAGATTCCTTCCCAGCAGTTCCGTTTGAAGTAATAGTTAACGAGGAGCAGATTTTCACAAATTTCTCATTGTTTCTGCTTCACAAGGCTCAGGAGAAAATCAGTGAATATGTGCTCATACTCTGGCATTTTCCCATAACCTGCACCATATGGTATAAAAAAAAAGTATTGCAATCATAAATTTAAGGGAAAAATATTTTCTTCAAGAAAGTGGTGCACAACAATCAAACTACTTCAATCACAGATGTTGAGTGATTCTACAAGAAGGATTTCTTACCAGGAAAGTAATTAATATCTATGACATAATATCGGTCTTTGGTTCCAAGCTCTCTAATTATATCCAAGTTGAAGAGATGGAGACCCTACACAAACATTGCAATAATATTTTAGGAAATTACCTTACATCAGAAGTTGTAAAGCAAGTACGAAACATCATTTACGGCATAATTTATGGAAAGAGAAACAGAAAGCAATATACCAGTCTACGTCGAAGTTCCTTAGCAAGCTTTTCAAGTAATGGCCGCGGAGGAAGCTCTGCAAAGGATAAGATGTTAAAGAAAATCATGACCAACCATCCAAGATTTACTTCAGGTCTCTACACGTAGATAATACATAATTAAATGCAACAGTACAGCATATGTCATCCCGAGTATAATAGTATTCACTTAGGTAAGATGGATGTCACTGGTCTGATCCAGCAACATGAAACTAAATACAGTATGTAATAAATCCCACACACATAAGAGTTCCAAGGCAATACCATTTTGCCACATACTAAGAAGCTTTAAACATTTCCAAACACTTTGTGTCTCCTTAGTTTCTAAATTTCAAACTTCAAGATTGAGTGTCCTGTCCGCGAACAACTTCAAATGGCATCATACACCAAAGAACCATCACGACTGATGGCCCTTTCCAAACCAATCATTTCTTGTAATCCTCTCATAAAACATCATTTAAGTATGATCCATTTAAAGCACTTCTGGAAACGAATGGAGGAAGGTTATTAAACAGAAAATGATCTTTCTGTTCCACATAATCAAAGACCTATTCTGCATTGCAAGGTTTTAGGGGTAAAACATTTGAAAGCATCATCTTATTTGAGTTTCTTAGTAAGCAAGTTTTCAAAATAGTAGTATGAAATGTGAAAATTTAAAGTAGCACCTTGAAAATGTCATCACATCAAGTTTAAAACATAGTTGCAAAAGTTTGAATTATTGAAATGAAAAGAAAGCACGATCATTTAGAATGAATATAATAGCAAAAATGTTCTAGTATTGGGGCAGAGACAGCAAAAATTGTAAAGCTTATTGTTGGCGGTAAAAGATCAACGTTAAAGGAACCCATTCCAGACTCCTGTGATACCATGATTCAAAAGAATTAGAAGCTCATGGTCCTAGAGAAATGTCAACAAGACAAAAACTCAAAACAACTCTAAGACAAGTCATATAAGATAAACATACTTGTTAAGAAAATCTCATATCCACTAATAACAGCGACCCATTCTTCCTAGCTCTTGCTGATCTATAGTATTAGCTTCTGAAAAGCTTTAAAATCATTGACTGGTTCATAGAAACAATTTTTTTAAAAGATAAAAATAAAAATTTTGGACCAAAGGCCCGTTTCTTTCTCATGAAATATTAATACACATCCAGGCTAGTCATTACCCGTTTTAAATAAATGCCAGATAGCCCAAAAAGGAAATAAAAGGGCAGCTTGGTTTGGGAAAGACCAATATTGCCATTTAAACCAAGTTGTCCTTTTATTTCCTTTTTTGGGCCATCTGGCATTTGTTTAAAACGGTCTAATAACTAGACTGGTTATTTATTGATAATTTCATCAGAAAAACGGACCTTTGGTCCATTTTTTTATTTTTTATTGAAGCTCTTATTTTTCATCTGCTTTATTCTTCTAGTGTATGCCATAAATTTGTGCATTCACATATCTAAAGCAAACATGATGTATTTGATGAATCGAGAAAGAGGAAGTAGTCACTGAGGGAAAAGATGGCTCACCCCCGACACAAGGGTCTAAATCTGCTTCATCTGCAGATGCAGCAGCACAAGAAACTCTTGGGAATCTAAAAACCCCAGGGTTTGTTGACAGCTCACGCTTGCTAATATCAGGTAAACTGAATCGTCTAACAACCTTAACTGCTTCCCCAACAATGTATACTTTAAACAGAATTCCTCCTACAACCACAAGACAAAAAATACATAATCATCAACACGACGACTTATAAACATTTGCACATGGAATGGAAGGCACAAGTTCAATATCTCAAATAATATACGTACCGTGGTTGATAAATTCCTGTAGCACAAGTGGGGGTTCTAGCATCTGAAGAGAGAATTTGTCATAGGCTAGAGACAACTCATGGGACTTGGCAGCCAAAGGCTTTGCAACTGAGAAGATAAAAGAAGCTCAATTCAGGGATTTCATGAACAGATTACATTGTTCACATACTGCTCAAGTTTGAAAGAGATCACTTTCAAATTATTCAGATGCTTGTCACATGTAAGTTACACAGTTGCAACTTTGATGGCTACAAGAGAGGTACAGATCTTGAGTTTTAAAGTGTCAACTGCCCAAGGATCAGTTGATTAAAGACGAATGTGAAGAGAAAAAACGTACCAATAGGTAGTCTCAGCTCAGCTTTACCTACTGCATCTGGAATAGATGAAGAATCTTTCTCAATAACCAGTTGCCTGGGAACACCAACTTCCCCTGTCATGCAATCAAAAATAAGTTAATCCATTTTTTTCACTGATGTAGTAAACCCCACCCCTCAATCTCCCTTACCCAGCTGCCCAGCATTTGGTCCTCTCCCCACTTCTTCAAGCCAAGAAGAAAAAGAAAACGTGGCAATCCCAGTTCACACAGCTTCCCAGGGCTAAAATTACTGCAATCAATTGTTCTCAAATAACCATGAACAGACGGGAAATATTACCATAGGTGTCCGACAAATTCAGGTCCGCAACATCTTCAAGCATGTATTGGCGGTTGTATATGTGTTGTATGGCCTCCGGAGGGTCAAGAACTGTCACATCTGGATGTGTTAGCCTATATTCCTACACAGAGAGCAAAGAGAAGAGGTAAGGAGAAAAATACTAGAGGTTCTTCCAATACACTCAGTTGATTAAACTACAAATAGGCTCTAAAGAAGCAAACAGCACTTAAAAAGCAGAATAAAAATAAGGTGAACAGAGCACAATATGAATTTACCTTTTCCAACAACTAGTCTCCGACAAAACTAGAATGATCCCAACTACTAATATGCCTTAATCCAAACAACTTGGGAAGCATTGGAGTGGCACTTAAAAGGAAATATACCGAAGATTAAAAGGCATTGACTAGGTAAGTTCTCTCCTGAGCTGATATGAGGATTATGATAAGCCGCGGAACAAATAAGATCCATATATGGAAACCAGGAATCCTATCTGCAATCAATCAGCTACTCTACCCACAAAGCTCAAGGCTTTTGACACAATTACCAAGTAATGATTCATGACAGAGGAAAGAGCTAGAAGTCTGCAAGTTATGCCAGATAGAGCAAGTTTAAGCAAAAAGACAGCTCATCTCACCAATCACTGCTAACGCATGTCTAATCCACATCAAGTAATTATGTGTATTTTAGCCTACACTAATTACAGATTTGCCTGAACGATGCATGCTAGCTGTAATCAACAGGATTCTGTAAAACGCACACATACATACACATAGAAAGCTTCCCAATGAACCAACCTCAAGAATACGCCGCCACTTGCTTCCTGACAACTGCGAGAAAGGAGCACAAAAATGTCAGATAGAGACAGAGGGCATCATATTACAGAATGACATCTCCCAGGGACAAGCTATAATGGATTAAGTATGCGAGCATATACAGACAAGTAACATGTTTCAGAACAGATATTTGGTGATATGCCCTTATAAGATATTACAAACAAACAACATTTAACAAAGTGTAATCCCACGAGTGGTGTCTCGAGAGGGTAGACTATAGAGTATATCATGACCTTGCCCCTACCTTGGGAGGTAGATAGTTTACGAATTAAAGGATTACTATTAGATCACAAAGTATACATTCCCCCAAGAGGGAGAAATACACAGGAATTAGAAAAGGTAGAAAATGGGAACCTTATGGAGCACAATGTCAAAAGGACCTTGATCTGAAAGGGGTTTGCTCTGATCAATAGCAACAAATAATATCCCCTTACTCCTGCATAATAAATGAGCAAGGTTAGCCACTAAATTGCAATTGTATTCTCAATATATGTGACGAGACTTGAGTAAAAGAAGTTGCACGGAAAATCGAGTGATACAAAATATACGACATGGCATGGCATGGATGGGGTCTACGTTTACCAATCTTAAGTGTATGTTCAGTCTGGTTCTACAAGACATTCACAAGTGTAGTTCAATGATCAACTTCCCATTTCAGACAGAAAGACGAAATGGGAATTGCACTAGATCACAATTCAAAGTACGTAAAATTACTTGCACTAGATCACATGTACTACTGGTAATTGATGAGGCAGCACTGGGCAGGGGAAGCTTAAGTGGGGCAGCTACAGGAGACCTAAGCTGAGGTACATGGAGTTTAATGCCAAACAGTAAAACAACAACTACGCCTCAGTCCAAATAAGTGGGATCAGCTGTATGAATCCTCATTTCGTTATTTAAGGTCATATCATATCATCATAACAATAAATAAATAAAAGTAAAAAATAGAAGTCCACCATGACTAATTCCTAACCCACTACTTCCCAAATGTCAAATTAGCAACAGCATTGATTAACTTACAAACAGGTCATTTTAAGAAAGCGACTAGTAAATTAATTGATATTTTCAAGAATCCAAATTTTTTGTAGCAATGACGTATGACAGCACCAAAAAATATCTGTCAGAGGTTACTATCCCTCCAAAATATTCTCCAATTATGCTGGCCACACGAAGTAAAAGAATACACTGCCTGAATTATTATTATTCCAAACTATCAACTGTGCAAATTAAAAGACCTCACAACTTCAAGGAAAAACAACCATAAGGTAGTAATGAATCTAAATAATAAAACTTTCAACTTTCAACCACAAAAAAAGTCATTTCTCCAAGCAAATCAGTCCTCTGGGAACAAGTTTTTCTCTGGACAGGACAGAGTGTACAACAACACCATCAAATATGTAATATACAAAATCCAGATAAACTAATCCTAATGTACACTTCACAAGAAATCAACAGAAGAAACAAACATTCAGAAAAAGAAAAGAAAAAAAGCAAGATAAACAGAAAACACCCCCAAAAATACATTCAAGCTCCAATAGAGTGTGATTATCTTGCTTGAACTTTTACATAGAACAACAAAGACAAATTTACAGGGAAAAAAAGGAGGACAAAGATTACCTAGCTAGACCTTCAAGCTTAGGCTGCAAAAAGCTCTTAACTTTCTTAGAAGTAAGAGCATAACCCACCACAACAAATTTCTTAGACTCTACTAACCCTCCACCAACCATTTCCCTCTCTTCTTCTTTCTTGTAATTTTCCTCTTCTTTGTACCCCACTATCTCATCCCTCATCCTCCTTCCCTTTAACAGATATTTTCACCCCACAAATCTCCTCTCCCTCTTTCCACACCAACCAATTCAAGAAAACCAAGTTTACCCAAAATATAAAATGAAAAAAAGTTCAAATCTTTAATCCCAAGAAACCCAAATACTTACAAGTTAAGATCTTTGACCCCCCCACAAACTCCAGTCCACAAAAAGATAAAATCTTTTATGATTTTCACTATTTCTTGAATGGCTACAAAAGAAGTTGCAAGAATGGAAAAGAGAGAAAGAAGAGTTGTACAGTGAGGGGGTTTATTTATAAGAGAGAAACTGGGTATCCACGCGTAAAGTTTAGAGAAGGGATAGCAAAATTTGTGGGTTGATATGTTTATGTGTGTTATTAGCTGTAACAGTGAATACCAATATGCTCAAACGTAACGCGTGGAACCTGCTTTTTATAGGGGATATCAAATAACTCGGCCTATTAAAATTCAAATTTTGAAACTATTTCAAAAGAATAGGAGATTTTATTATTATTTCGTTAAAATAAAAAGATAACCAAACTTAAATATAACCGACCACATTCTTCAAATGTTATATTCTAATAAATTTACTCAAAGATCATTTCATTATATAAGCTAATACGTAAAATTTGACAAAAAGTGAGTTGTCAATCAACGAATATGTTATTTATATTTTTGAATTGGTAAATTAGATTCTTTTTCAGAAGTGGAATGTGGTGTGAATTATTCGAGCATATGATTCATGTTGAATACGTAATTGTGATAGATATTAATTTATTTATTTTAAAATTATTTTATTTTAGTTTTAAGTATTTTACGATGGATATGGAATCCACATGGTCTTCATGTGTTGGAATTATCTTAAATAGTTGGACATCATTTTCCAGATATGTTTTTTTTTAAATATAGTAGTATCTCATTTTAATTAATATATTATTTTATCATAACATACACAAAATCAAGATTTGTTTACCATTAATTGCAAATCAAGTTGGCAACGTGCATAAGTTTCTTCATGTTTTATTCTTAATCTGGAATATTCTAATTGCTTGACTTTCATTTCAGCTTCGAATAAACTAATCATATAAAAACTAAATTTTAATAATAAAAACAATATATATATATATATATATATATATATATATATATATATATATATATATAT